ATCGCTAACACTTCTTTCAAAAGTTACTATAAAGCGGGAAATTCAAAATGCGTCTAATTGATGACTCAATGGAGTTATCGGCGAAAAGAAGTGTGGTGACAACGTTGGTTGGGGATCAAAATTTTGCCTGAAAGCCTTTGAAACATACAGTTCAATCTTTTTTTAGCTAGTAATAAACGAGCTGTTGTACGTGAGGACCAATTTTCAAATATTAACAACATTTGGTGTTCAATGACTGACAATATAGTAATGCTCCCACTTCGCTGACTGTTTTGCTCGACGTACTCTGCCATAATACATTGACAATTTACTGCATCTGAATTTTTTGCAGTTATGCAAATTGGAAGCTTGGAGAAGCCCAAGGTTTTGACTTCTATATTCTTAAAAAGGTGTTGCACCCCTGGTAGCATAAGCAGTAGCGTATAGTAAGGGATTTGACTGCTGCTATTGTGCACCGTGAATTACAGAGTTTACTGTCTTCTACAATTGCGTGGTTATTTCAGTAGCATATCTTTGGTTGCTGCAAATGTGGAAAAAATTGTTGCGAGAACCTGTTGGAAATGTCAAAATTCAATTGCTAATTTCAACGTTTAACCCCTGATTGCTCTTGCAGAAAAAGTGATCGTCAACTGTATGGACAATTTTCGGTAAAAAAGTTCAAAATTCATTGTTTTGAGCAAAAATGTTTTCTAAAAGAATACGATTCAAAAAAAAAAAAAAATGTTGCAAATTTTTCAATTTTTCTAACTCTTATATTTGATCATTGAAACAGTTGTATGGGACACTATGAATAGATGGATATGAACCAGCAGTGCTCATGCATTATTGGCCTGAATATTTTTGTTCTTTTAAGTTTCCCAAAATGAATTTTTTTAACCTAACTCAACAAACCTCTCCAACTAGAGTGGGTAAAGTCTCAAAATTTGTTCTTCTCCTTCACTGTTTAATTAACCTGAAACATTTAAACAAAGAACTACTTCCTGGGACTTGGACTTAAGCAAATATGTTCTAAATTTTTCATAAATTGGTTGAAGTCTAAGGAAAAAGACTTGTATGGTTCAGTTTTTTTGGGTTGCTATCCTCATGTTTGCTGCATACTTTTTTATTTTCAGAGAACTAATAAATCAACATTTGAAGGTGAAAAATTAAAAAAATTTGCAACCTACATTATCTTGGGTTGGGTGTTTATTGATAATTTTAAAATAGTAGTTATATATTACTGTACAAATGGTTAGGATAAAAGAAGCAATAAAAACGGAGACTTTGGTGACAGAGCAATAGAAACTGTCACTATAATAGTGCAATAAGTCTTCTTGAGTTTTATCTATTTTTTTCGTTTTCTTATCTTATTTTTGTTTTTTTTTTTTTT